TCTGAGCTGCAGTTGTAAACACCAATGGCATTCATTAAACAGCACATCGACTGTTATTTGTTAAACATTACTGTCATTTGCTGAAATCAAACTTGGAGAGAACACAAGGTTACCTGATTGCTGCAGTTCACTCTCATGGTGTTTTATTTTCTTTTTTTGTGCATAGTAAGTGTACAGGGATACTCTGAGTGTCAGTGTTAGTGCTTGCCATAAAGTGAAAATGTATGATTAGAAGTGACCTGCCAGCTTTCTAGCCGCTTAATTAGCGCTGAGTGATTTTCCCTTGCTGTCTTCAATAAAAAAGCATTTGTCTTTAAAATGCTATTTTTCCCATGTCTTATTCTACACAGATGCCACACAATTCATGTGTGGTTCTGCTTTGTTGGAACCAAAACCTGTAGCCACACCGACAATTTACAGATAAGATTGGCAGCTCAGCACCTCTTTTTACCTGAATGTCCAGAACATATGGTTCCAAGTCAGAAGAAACAACATCAAAGTCGATCTTTGACCTTTGACTGAAATATTCAATTAATTAAGTTTAATTAATGTAAAAGTTGAATGTCATTCTGACTTTTCAGATTTTCAGGCAGAGGTTGAATTGCCACCTAACAGACATGTACCAGCCCTCACATATGAGTTTAATCAATAACATCAACAGTGTCCAAGCATAATTGCCAGTAACCGCCAGTCTCTCTGTGTAAAGCTTTGTGGGCCTTTTACAAGTAAAGCACAAACCAGGGACATACCTTCTTTCAGAGTAGATATCTCCACTACTGAAGTTCTGAGAGGGATCCACGGACCAGTCACTTTTCAAAGACACACAGCTGGACACTGGGGATTCTGCTCTTTTCACCCTGAGAACAGTTCATTTATAACAGAACAAATAGTAATTATAATCAGTTCCATAAATATTTGGCTATCAACAAAGTTGTTGTTATTTAGCTGTCTATAGTAATACGGGAGTTTAAGTGAAATAATGAATATGAGCTCAATATATATTTCATCCAAATTGGGTGAACCATATAAGAATTACAAACATTTTTTTACTTTTAATTACATCTAAGCAGATAACAGGTCTAGAGTTGACATCCAGTGCAGCATTTGCACATGGAATCTGTTGCTGTTCGATCTCAAAAGTCCAAAAGTGCTGTCAGATTAGAGTTTGCCAAGAGCATCTGACATACGTGAACGTCAGAATCTTCATGAGAACTGCATAAGTGGACTTAAGCAGAAATGTCTTCTTAAAAACAATTGAATGAGGCCCAATGATTGAGCCTAGTGTGAAAGCAACCCAAGACATTTTTAAAACAAATAAATGGAACACTTTTACAATGGCAAACCGATTACTTCACTTCAATCCAATCAACCATGAATTTTACTTACTGAAGGCAAAACTGAAGATGAAATGCACCAAGAATAAGCAGGAATTGAAGATGTAGTAGCTGCAGGAAAGGCCTGACAGAGCATCACCAAGGACGAAATACAGTATCTGGTAATGTCTATGGGTTCCAGACTTCAGGCAGTCATTGACTGCAAAGGATTTGCAACCAAGAAGGGGAGGGGATTGTTGTATAACATGGTTGTTATTCCTACACTATTCACCTGATTTGAATGTAAATACAAAATTAAGGCTGAACATTTAGCTGAACATCAGCACTTTGAGCTCATATTCATTATATAATTTTATCTGCGATATGCTGGGATGCTAGGATGAGATTAAAATAACAAAAACTTTGTTGACATCCAATATATTTGCACCTTACTGTGCTTTCTTTACTAAACATCTTGTTTCTTGTGTGAATTTTTGATTTTTAGTGACATTTGTTCTATTGAAATGAAAGATTAATCTCTCTTAAAAATTAGTACATTTTACATGATTCGTCAAAATAAACCTGGTCTCTTTTAGCATAGATTTAATAATGCTGCTATTAATTTTTAAGCCTCTGCATGAATTAGGACCATGCATTATGGACTGTCTGGCTGCATGTGCCACAGGTAATTCTCAAATCCAGCACTGCAGGCTTGCTTAATATATTGCTTCAAGTCAACAAGAAAATATGTGGTGAGGCAGCTTTTTATTTTTATGCACCAAGAGTCAGACATTAGACAGAGCCTAATGAGTGTCCAGTCCATGGGACTGATTAAGCTAATAGAGCAGTTATGCCAGTTACTGCCAGTATCTCTGTGTAAAATTCTTTGAGCCTGTTATGAGTGAAGTGCAGCCAGTCACTCACCTTCCACTGCTGAAGTTCTAAGAAGGATCCATGGACCAGTCACTTTTCATGGATACTGGAGATTCTGCTCTCTTCACCCTGAGGGTAGGTCTCAAAGCAATGAGTAATTATTTCATTCACAAAATGTTATTTTGTCAGGGACATAAGCATTCTTTTCATTTTCATTTTTTATGTAAGACTACTTACAGTGGTTCAGAAGTTCCTGCTCCACTACTTGAGCTGTGAGGCTCCATTATTTCTCCTCAAAGACACAGCTGAACACTGGACATGCTGCTGTCTGCTCTCTGTAAAAAGATCATGCCTATAAATATGCATGGGATGCTGAAGCATGCATTGTAGGCTAAGGAGCATTGTGTCATGGCAACATGAGACAATACTTAAAGAAAAGTAAAACTACAATGTTTTGAGTTAAAATAAAACAACAACTTAACAGTTTAGTTCTAGTTCTTTGAGTAATGGTTGGACTTTTGTTAAAAATTAACTTGAACTGTCCAGCACTAGAGAGGAGGAGGAGAAAACATGCTTGAGATCCACTGGCATCATCACATTCCCCACACATTCATTACTTATCATTAGTAACAAATGATTATGAAGCTTCTATTCATTAGGGCCTGTTATTATAAGTTGCAGAAATTAAAAGAGAAGTATCCATTAAAACAAATATGAACAAGTGTAATTCTGTGGTGTATTTTAGCAAATTTTTGAGCCAAACTCAAAAAACGCTAGCCAGTACATGCAAACACAGCTTTGAACAGTTGTACATGCATAAAGTCATGTTCATTAAAACACAAAAATGTTTTCTTAACTGCAGAAAATTTGTTTCAGTTTTTAAGTTCTTAACAAGTTCTTGATTTTCCCCACTGATTTTCAGACTTTGGGACACATTTTCTATAAAACAGCAGAATGGAATGGAATGGAATTTAACTGCTTACTATGTGCCATGAGGGACAGGGATGCAGTCTCACTTCTTGCTTTAAAATTAGGGGGCATGGCTAAAATAAGGCTCCACCTAAGCTGCTTATCCTTCTGTATCCTTCTTTGAGCCTTGTCATTTGAACATAGCCTAAGAAATATAGAATGCAAAGTGGGAGCACTAAAACTAGAGAATGTGAGGGCAGTGGAAGAGGATTGCTGTGTTGTTTACAGATAAAAAGTGTTCCAAGTGTTCAGGTCTATAATTGAAAGTATGTCCCTGATATCTCCATTTCATCAGAAACAACAAATGACATTCCACATGCAGGCACAAAACACCAGACCACATTCCACATGCAGGCACAAAACACCAGACCACATTCCATATGCGGGCACAAAACACCAGACCACATTCCACATGTAGGAGTGGTTGAGGACATTAATTCTGAGAATGAGAAAGAGAATGAAATATACTCTACTATATGATTAGCATGTTTAAAGCATAGTATTTGGTCACACTTTAAATTGTTTCTAATAACTGTGTAGTCACACATTATTAATAACAACAACAGTGTAACTATTGATGTATTCATTGTTTCAAATGGATTACAGTAGAACATCTTACGTAAATACACACATATAAACTTCTTATACCAGTTTTTACTCATGTAATTGCACAAATGTATCTTGATAGTAAGAGCATATTTTCTCTTATGTAATTACATGTGGAATATGGTAAGGGTAATTACATTTGTACAAACTGCAGTTTTTCCAACAAGTATTTCCTGAGTTTAACAGTTGGTGTGTAATTAGATACATTATGAAAGTACTAACAATGTATCTGCACAGGAAATGCTGACTTTCTTTACATTTAGATAGATGTAGTAGTATGCTGTGTTGTGACATTGTAACCAAAGCTCTGGCTGTACACCATTATGTAATGTGACAGTATTTACACAGCAACAGCAGATATATTTAAAAGTAACTGTTATGTAATTAATTAAAATATATTAATTAAAATACATTGTATTATTCTACCCCAAAAGCAATGTCTGGATTACCAGTCTAATTTCACTACATCTATATAACAGAATTTTCACAAGAACTTTCCACTTAGGTATAAATTTAATGTATAAATTTGTGTTTAATGTGTAATTTTTACATAATTACTGTGGAATATTTGTGTTACATAGTAACTTGATCGAATTTCACAGCACCTGCCATAATATTACCACATTACAGAACGGTTTACATATATGTAATTACATAACATAAAGTAATCTTTTTCAAGATATACTTGTGTACTTAAATGAATAATAACTGAAGTTGATATACATATATTTACATCTGTGTATCCATCTGTAATAGTCTATGCCTCATTTGTGAACTATAGTGATGTGAGGTCAATATTCTGGTCAGCAGTACTTTGAACAGCTGTTTAAGTCAGGTGTGGTAAGTAGTTTGATCTGCAGTGCTGCATGGTCAGTAGTTTAATCTGCAGTGGTGTGTGGTCAGTAGTTTAATCTGCAGTGCTGCATGGTCAGTAGTTTAATCTGCAGTGGTAAATGATCAAAAATCTGGTCAGCATTACTGTGGTCAGTAGTTTCAGTGATCTGCAGGGCTCTGTGATAACCAGAGTGTACTGCAGTGGTGTGAGGTCAGTAGTGTGATCTACAGTGGTGTATGATCAGCAATCTGGTCAGCAATACTGTGATCAATAATTTGATCTGCAGTGTGAATGCTCAATAATCTGGTCAGCATATGGTCATAGATAGTTTCAGTGATCTGTCACGTTGTGTGGTCAGTAATTTGATCAACAGTGCTGTTTGATCAGTAGTTTGATCAGTGGTGGTGTATGGTAAGTAATTTTATGAACAGTTCTGTGTGGTCAGTGTTGATGTGTTAATGAATATGTGATCAGTAGTCTGCTCAGTACTGCTGTATCATCAGTAGTTTCATGGGTGTACGATCTGTAGTGTAATCAGTAAACACCAGGCTGTGCAGACATTAAATGGCATACTGCTTTTTTCTGCATGCACACAATCACAAATATCTGCAGTCACCCAGGATAATGTGTAAAGTTTTGCAAACATTACATTTTCTGTTGGAAGCAAACAATTAAGAGCAAAAACCCTTGTTCTGTAGCTGCTAGACTACATGATAACAACGTTAGAGTTGGCTACCCACGAAGGTCACGTTAACTTAACAAACATCTAACAGAAAGAAATTGGAATTGACATATAATTGACATATTAATATATCTTCCAGTTAGGCATGCGCATTTTAGCAAATTCTTTTGAACAATAACCAACCATCATCAGCAAATAACCATTAGATGGCAAGTTTAAAATCAAGGAGGTGACCTCTTAAAATATTTTAGCCTAGCGAGTGCACTAAAGAAGTCTGGACCACTGAAAGATAGTGTCTAAGGAAAAGCTTTTATTTGAGCTGACACAGACCTAAAAACAGAAGAACATCACTTTTTTCTCCAAAAGGAAAAATTTGCCCTGGCTCTGCCTTTAAGCTTCTAGTGTTGAGATGCATCGCACAGACCCCAGCTGAGGGATTATAAAAAAGGACACCAATTTAGATAAAAAAAAACAAAACAATAATCATAGATTTATGGATTAAACACAGCCTTATTCTTTGATGCCATGATATCACCAAGGAATAATAACGTGCATTGAACATTCATACATTTAAAATATCTGTTTATTTCTGGACATTATGTGGTTTTAAAGAATCAGTCCTTTCTTGAAAATCTCCTGCTCAACTGAAGTGGATGCATGATCAAATTACAGTGGGCATAGTGCCCTAAACAGCATCACTAAAACAGGCTCAGCCTGATTCTCAGTAATGCTGCGGATAAGATAACATTTCCATAACATTTGCCCTACAGTCACATTCATACACAGAGACTACAGTGTGATCTTAATGGGCTAAAGTTTAATCAACACTACATAAAAAACACTGTTAACTGTTGAGATCACCCAAAACAGAATCTGTGGGAAACCAGCACAGCTCAGAAAGCGTCTCTTTAGTTTGACATGGTAAAATCAACCCTAAGTGCTTCATGGTCAAGGCTCTCTGATTCCAGAAATCTGACCTGATCTGACCTCTGATCTAAAGAAGCCCAGACTATGCATTCTTGAGGTTACACAAAATATAGATGTGCAACTGTCAATGTGTCATTAGCTTTGGACAACTTTGCCATGAACTGTCATGATACATTTTTTTCTGCAGTTTATAGAACATATAAAATGTCATTAGGCACACTCTGAAACATAGCCAAAAAAGTTCAGAAAAGTTTCTCAGAAAAGAAAAAGGAAAATAATATTTACTTTTCAGAACATTTCACAATTTTAAATACATTTATTACTGCAGTTCAAATATATATTCAGTACATTGCAATAACATTAATAGTTAGCTCAAATACAGACAGTCACTTTTTTTTAAACTGACAATAATTGCTTTATTTAAAAGCCTTTGCTGATTTAATGTCTTGTAGATTAGGCAACAAATTTAGACTTTACATGGATATCTTCAAGCGAGAAAATTACATGAATGATGTTAATTAATAGCAAACTTTTTTTTAGCAAAAAGATTTTTTTACATTCTCAGTTTGTAGCTGTTATTTTATAGAATAAATGGTCCTTTTCTGTAATTTCGTCTGTACTTTGCTATATTAAAACAATGGAAAATTTCCAGCATTTTAACTATGAAAATACTTTTTAGACTTTTGTTTTTTTTCATAGTTCATCTGAGGGAAATTTAAAACTTTACAGTACATTGGCATTTTATGGCTACTGTAGTGAGGGGTTAAACCCTACCAACATTTATTGTTTTTTTCAAATTTTAATTGTGAACAATATATAATGAATAAATTGGGTTCACTGTACATTAAATGACACTTCAATTCTTCCTTTTTTGACTGTAACCACAACAAGCTTTTTTACTGTAAATCACAAGCCGCAACTAACATCTAAGGCTCTACAAGCTTCTTCTGCACTAACTAATGTCAGTGTCCATGACTCCTCCATCAGCCAAACAGGTTGTATTTGAAGTTACATCGATTCCCTCTCCAGGAAAAGCATTGTTCCCTTTTTAAAGTTTTCTAAAGAGCCAGAAGACTACTGAAAGATTATAATATAGACTGATAATGCAAAAGTTTATGGATTAAATGAGAAACATGTTTGGTGGAAACCAAAAACTGCATTCCAGCATAAGAACCTCATTCCAACTGTGAAACATCATGTTTTGGGACTTTTTTCATGGAGTTCAGGCAAAAAAGCTCACCAACATTACTGAGTTGAAGAAGTTATGAAGGGACAAATGTGACAATCTAAAAGAAATGTTTAGTCGAGGCTATTGTTGATTAAGGGTCTCAAACAAGTAGCAGAGCTTCACCTACAAAGACAATTAATGTTGGACACTTTTGTTCAATAAATGCATGAAAAAATTATACTGAAGGAGAGACTTATTGTCAGAGATGAATATAGGACACTAAAGTAAAATCGATAAATAAAAATAAATCGGTAGCCAAGTTACCTTTACTGGGTTCCGTCCATATGTCTTCAGTAGAAGTTCAGATCCATCTTCATCAGTGTAATTTACAAAGCTACAAGAGAATACATTACTTAAGACACACACTTACTTAAGCTCCATTTAAATCCAGTAGACCACTATGTTACACACCTATTAACACAGTCTCTCAGTCCAGACTGAATGATAACATTACTGAACTTTCTTTTTCGTTTAGAAACAGAAAACCAGTTGGACCACACTTTAGTCACATAACAACGCGTGTTCATCTCGGGTAGATCAACCTGCAGGACGTAGTGCTGGTATCTCTGTGTGTTTGTGTATGAATCATGTGTGTACGCAGTGTTTAATAAGGAGGCCATAAACATCACAATCACACAAAAAAAACATCTTTCCATTAATAACATTGAAAAAAAAATTTCACAGACATTCATAAGATCTTCTGATATAAGTTGTTTGTGAAATCATATGTTGAATAAATTCATTCTTTCTTCCTGAATCATATGTGAAACATACTAAACATTCCATGTTTCATGCATAATTAAATTTAAACTTCACACACCTAAACACTGCAAGTCGCCACACATAATGTTTTTCATTGAGTTGTGAACTGGGGGTCATTCAACAATTTCTGAGTTGGATCTTCAACTCCAACCTCTCAGCAGACCCCATTTTGTCCAATTCTTACTCATCAGAAAACAAGATAATGCGTCAAACTTCTGGATTTCAGCAGTGCACTGGGTCCTGTAATTCCCAGGAAAACTGACCATCACAGTGATGTGAGAGGTATTAGTTTAGTACCTTTTTTCTGGAAGTGTACTTTTGATGGCTTAAGGAGGTAGCCATTTGCTTTGATATTTTGAGCAATTTAGCTTTTGTAGTAAAATAGCTTTGTAAGTCCCACATTCTCAGACCAAAGCATTTTTTACAGGGGTGGAAAGGGTACTGAAAATCCCTACTTATGTAAAAGTGTTTGTAATTTACGTGAGTACAAATAAATTATTAGTATTAGTAAAGGAAATTACACAATACACAGTAATCAAGATACATGATTTTGCATGTCCTCAATCATAACCTGAAAATATTTCTGAATGGACTTGGTTATATAATAGCAAATAATCTGTACAGACATAACTAAAGCATAACATGATATCATGATAGGATTTATGCATCACTTTTTGAACTGTATAAGGAACAAGATTTATATGAAACTACATGCAATCATGATTAGATGAACATATAAGGCTTCCCTATTTATAAACAAGTAGGGATGCTGTGCAACATAAAAGTAAATAAAAACAGAATGCAATGATGTGCAAATCCTTTCAGCCCTATTTAATTGAAAATAGTACAGAGATAACATATCAAACACTGAAACTGTGAAATATTTATCATTACAGGTCAGTAACATTATTGGCCATAAAAAAGAGCATCCCAGAGAGGCTGGGTCTTTTGGAAATAAATATAGGGAGTGTTCACCACTCTGTGAATGACTGCGCAGGCAAATACTTCAACAATTCAACAATAATGTTTTTCAACATAAAATAGCAAAGAACATGTGGATTTCATCATCTTTCATCATAATCAATAAAAGACTCAGGAAATTCAGAGAAATTTCTGTATGCAAGGGACAATCCTGAAAAAACAATATTGGATGGCCATGATCTTTGGGCCCTCAGGCCGTACTTCATTAAAAACAGACATAATTATGTAGTCAATAACACTGCATGGGCTCAGAAAACTGCTGTCTGTGTAAGCAATTTGTCGCTGTATCCACATATGAAAGTTACAACTCTACCATGCAAAGAAGAAACCATATATAAACAGGATCCAGAAACGCTGCCACCTTCTCTGGGCCCAAACTCATTTAAGAGGGACTGAGGTGAAGTAGAAAAATATCCAGTGGCTTGATGAATCAAAATTTCAAATTCTTTTTGCAAATCATGCTGCATGCTGCATTCTACGGGCTAAAGTCTACCCAGGTTGTTATCAGTGCACAGTTCAAAAGCCAGCATCAGTGATGGTTTAGGGGTGCATTAGTGTGCATGGCATGGGTGACTTGCACATCTGTAAAGGCACCATCAATGCTAAATGATATATCAGGTTTTGGCAACATATGCTGCCATTCAGATGACAACCTTTTTGGGATTACATATTTCAGCAAGACAATATCAAACCACATTCTGTGTGTATCGCAACAGCATGACCCTGTAGTATTAATTAAGAATTGACTGATTAAGAATTAGGGCATTAGACTGGCCTGCCTGCACCCTGTCACTCACTGAAAACATTTGATGCATAATGAAACAAAAAATACAACAAAGGAGACCCCGAACTGTTGATCAGCTGAATGGGAAAGGCAAGAATGGGAAAACATTTCACTTTCAAAACTACAGCAGTTGGTGTATCAGAATAAATGAAGTGTGTTCCTGAACATTGAGACACCTGTGTCATTTGTTCTAGCACACACCAGGAGCTCCGTGGAAAACAACCAGATAGAGTGAGGTGGTGGTGGGATCAGAGAAGGGGACAAGAGGAAAACACTCCTTATAGTAACCAGTTTTGTCTAATTGGTTTACAGAGTAAAAATAAATTAAGAACAAACCACTTAATGTTATTAAAATTAAATAGCGAAGTATTTCATTATATATTATTCCAAGTAAGTGTATTAGTACTATGATTTAATTTTACTCCAAAAAGTACTGTTACTGGGAAAAAGTAATTAAGTACAGGGACAACAGCAACAGAAACACTGTGCATAATATAATGTTGCATCATATTTTACGGGCTGCAGAATTAGGGTGGCAAGTACAATGTCAAGCACTACCCAGGGAGGCAATTTATAATTGTCTAGGCAGAGGCAGCTGCATTGTGTCAACTCTCCAGTTGACAAGGAAATGGCAGGATTGTGTCGAATCAACCAGGGGTGGCCCAAAACTATGGGACTGTCTGGGGTGTCAATTATTGAAAGAGAGGCCCATTCAAAGAGTAAGTGGAAAAGTGGAGGAGAAGTGTAAATTTTCCTGATCAGATGCACTGACTACACAGACTGTTTATGAGCAGAGAGGTCGTGCAATCAAGAGGGCAACTTCCAAGTCTGAGAGGAAAGGCTTTCACGCATTCATTGCTGCTGTTTCTCTGGGAAGAGTTTGATTTGGTCTATCTCCATAGATTACCTGTGTGACTGATTTTGGGGACTGGCCAACATCCAGATGAGGTTATGAAGTTTGATGATGATTGTGTTAGTGTCATTTCACCATCTTTGCAAGCCAGCTGTTTAGAGGTTTTTGTTGGTGATAAATTGTCTTCAGAGCATGTTCATCCCAGCTGCACTGCAAATAAGTGGAAAGCAAGAGCATGGTCCACTACAGATTTTTGCCTTGTATGAGTTGGAGCAGCTGCTCACCCAGGTCTTTGCCTGAAAAAACTGATAAAATAAATCATGAAACTGCAGTTTGAAACTGGGCGATGTCTGAGTGCCTTAGCTCTGCACTTCAACATAGCAATGGCCCATGTAAGCACTGCATCTGCAACAACAACATCAACGCAATTTAGACATAGAATAAAGCAGCTGGCATATGGCTGAAAGACAGGGAGCACTGGAGCAAACCTTGACATTATCCTTGTTGTGAGCTATCATATCTGTTGGGGTTGGCTAAATGAGCAACATGATGTATGATGAAAAATACAGGCAAAAACAGAGGAACAAACAGTTTTAGACTTGCAACGCTTTGCAAAAAGCGTCTAGCTTGAGTAGGATTTAACAAGGAGAGCAATCAGGAAAAGGATGAACAGGTGACTGTGATCAGGTGTAGCAGTGGAAATGGCTCAGAATTTGGGAAATGAGGACCTCTGATGTCCAGATGTGGTATTGCCTCTGAAAGATATGTGAAAAGCAACAAATAAAGCATTTATATTTTATTTTAGGTAACAGATCTTGGATGCTTATCTTGTTATTTGTTCAGTAAAGCCCAAGGTAGACACTTGTAAATTATTTATTCATTATGATGTGTATGACCTGTAGCACAATAAACCTAATTTATCATAAAAAATAAAGCTTGAATTGAAGCTCAGTTTATGCCACTGTATGCCACAAGTTTTTTAGGAATTACCATTGCAATAGACTACTGACAGTATAATAAAATCATATGTAGAGCAATAAAACATTCAACCACATTTGGCTGAATGAATAATAAATCATGAACTGCCAAATCATAAAGTGCCTTTGAATAATGGACTTTTATACCTGCTTTCCAAGGATCCACAGCTGATGTTTTCTCACTAACTAAATCTGCTCTCCACTTTCTTCTACCACACCACCTTTCATTCTGCTGTCTTTTCGCTGTTTGAGTTTCAATCCCATCCTTTTCTTTACTGGTAGCTTAATTTTGGCACATACATTGACAACTGGCTTTACTTGAAAACTATTTCATTTTATTAAGCGTATTTAGAAAAATGAGACAGTATTTCAAAGAGACTTTGTCAATACTTAAATATAATCGACAATATATAAACACGGTTGTATGCAAAAGTTTGGGCACCCCTGGCCAAACTATATATTAAACACAACACCTGCAGCAAACTATATTAAAAATATTTTTTCTTTTGCTGTAAATATATATTATACACAGTTACTTTATATTTGTTTGTCTTACAAAATAGCAATTGTTGAATGTGCAAATGTTTGCACACCCTACAAAATCTGCTTTTTGTAGCCAGGAAAGAGTCTTTCTATCTTAGCTTCCTGATTTAGGAATCTGTACAGAAACATACTGGAAAAATCTAGTTAATAAGATTCCTCAGACATTGTGACTCATGAGTATCCTATAATGCTGGAGATTGTTGTGTGTGATGAGCTCTGTTGTTCTCATAATTCTCTGGAGAGCTCTCTGAAGGAGCAACTGCCAGTTGACTGACAGACAGACAGTGATGGAGCCAGTTAGGAAGCTCTCTATGATGCATCTGTAAAAGTTGGTGAGGATGCTTGGGGCCAGGCCAAACTTTCTGAACCTACAATCTCATGATTGCGTTAGTCTGGAGGGCCCATGTGAAGCCATCAGTGAGGTGCACACCATGGAACTTAATGCTTTATAAGGGTCTGTGTCCAAACATCTTCAGCTTCCTTTGGGGGGTAGGGGGGTTGCAAATTGGAGAGG